GCTCATCAGTTGTGCTTTAGATGATAAAAGTCATTAAAGTGAAGTGCATGTGCAGTAGCTGTGTATAGTGAATAGAAGCACCGGTGCAAATAAATATTGCTCGCGCATGTATCTAATATCTGTTCAAAAGTTTTGATATTTACAACGGTGCACAAGAAGCCATTTGTTTGGATTTGGTGCTGACAAAAGCTCTTTTGTAATCTGTTGTAAAGTGAGGTGCTGCTCTGAGGCCCCAGACCTTTGAAGGCTGAAATTCAAAGTGTGCTTTGTTTTTGTAATTTCATTGTAGACTGTAGATTTGTTTGTATAAAAGTACTGGGTCTAAAAACAAAAAACACAAGGCGATGCAGTGGTAGGAACAAGTTGAGGCAATCAAATATAATTGATGTCATGATTAACTAATTTCAAACGCTTATCATGCCATGCAGATATGTGACTTGCAAAAGCCAGCAGCCTACTGCAGGGTGCATTTAACAGGATAAGGTAAGCAGGTTCAACTTCTTTGCAGATGACCTTGACTTATTAATTTATTAATTTTGCACAGTGGCATCCCAAATGCAATAACAAGAGTTCTGAATGTCTGTGAAGGTTCTCAGTCATCCAGGTCATCATAGTCTAAGGAGCTTGGAAAGAAAAATGTCTGGACTTCTTTAAGTTGCTCGAAGATGTTTTACCTCTCATCCGAGAAAGAACTGTAAATGAAAAATGAACTGAAGAGGCTTCTCGGATAAGAGGTGAAATGTCTTCAAGCAACTTAACAAAGTCCAGACGCTTTTCTTTCCAAGCTCCTTAGAAGAGTTCTGAATGAATTCTACTGATATAAATAGGGGAACTACTTATTTCAGTAGTGATAATATGAAACCTCAATTTTTATTTAAAACACTGTTTAACGCTCAGGTTTATTGTGTCATGTAAAAATGAGTATCCCATCCATACAATAAGGAAAAGTTTGGCCAAAAATACTAAAACAAAATTAGGTCAAATCAGCCTAAAATTTCTTTTTTTGTTGTTTTAGTTTTTTAGTTTTGGTATTTTGCCTTTGTAATGACAGTGAGAATTGAGGGAAAATGGAAATATAGGGAAAGAGAAGAGGGAAACAACGAGCATCAAAGGTCCAGCCCGCCTTGGCTGCCATGTTACACCCATCAACATGACCCTCTTCACTCATACTGATGTCAGAACTTTCCGGACACACCTACTTGAAACACTGTAATAAAATCACAGATCGAGTGTAACAGTTGTTACTGTTAGGTAGTAGTGGTAGAAGAAATCCATTAGTATTTATCTTTGAGACGTGAAACTTAATTTTTAAATAGATAGTTTCATTACATATAAATGTTCCCGTTAACTACACATGCTATAACTGTGTTGTTGTGCAGTTTTCCAAATCTTTACATGCTGTAAATGCCAAAAAAGATTTATGTCTTCACCCATAAACCCCCATCAGAGAGTATTTTTGTTATCTTGATGATTCAGAGAGGAATTATACAACTGTTTGAGGGCGTTACAGTAGAGAGCTTGAAACTAATCATTTGCCTCACAGAGTCTATTACTGTACGAAGTCATAGCGAGTCAAATCAACAATTCGAGGGATTGTAAAGATTTGCCGTTATCCAGGTCATCTTAAAGTTTACATTTTTTGAAGATGATTTGAATGAAAGTGTTTTCGGTTGAAGGTAAAAAGGAAGTCCGGTTGCTTTTGACTGAACATTTCTAAATACATCTTGAGAAGCCTTTCTGAGGATCCTTGGGTGCCCCTGGAGCCCAGTTTGGGTGTAAATCTTTGCTGATGTAAACCATCAAACATTGATGGTCCAGCTGGGTTGCTGTGGAAGCAGAGACTGAAGCCAGTAGGGCTCTTTTCTCTTTCTCTCCCTCTCTGCTTCCTGAGCACTCCTGCTCTGCCTCTGTTTATCCTCAAGCATCCCCTCTTGTCAACAGATTAGGACTGAACCCCGCTGTCTCTTCCTTTCGTCGTCTCTCTCTGCCTCCATCTCTCTGTCTTTTGGCCTGTCTCTTTACATCTGCGCTTCTGCTCTATTCTTGTGATGAGCGAAAAGAGTGGAAGGAAGAGGAGGGGGAGATATAGGAGAAAAAGAAAGTGTATATATGTGTGTCTATGCGTGTGTGTGTGTGTGTGAATGTGTGTGTGTGAAAGAGAGAGACGAGAGATGGGACAGGTGCTTGCAGTGCAAGAATTGCTTTCCTTGCCTTGCTTGCATGATCAGGCTGCAAAAATGTTCAACTCAAGCAAAAAGGTCTGTTCAAGAATCAACTCTGAGAATCAGGCTTCCTCGCCTGTGGCCAGACCAGCGCTGGCAGCGCAGCAGCAGTTCACGGTGGCAACACGCTACATCAGACCCACACACACATACAGAGCCCAATCGTAATTGCAGGGGCCCACAGATGCGCGGTCAACCACACAGAGATGTAGCTGGTCTGTGTTAGGAAGCCAGACATGCCACTGAACTGAACAGTAAATCAGGCTGAGAGACCGTCTGAGGTGTCAGCGGCAGAGTCCAGGCAGCAGACACCTGGAAGAGTCCAAACAGGCTAAACACACATTAAGCTGCAGATGCTGCATGTAGGGGACGGATTCCCTCTGATCACATTTACAGGCTTACACCAGCTCAGCAGGAAACACTGATCTGCTTCTCTGCTCCGTTCTCGTCTGTTCGCTGCTGTTCTCTTTATGTTTTTGTTCTGCTCTGTTCTCTGCTCTCAGGTTCTGTGCCTGTGTTGTCAAAATCACCTTGGTTCATCGGCCACAAGCGTCCCAGTGGGCCAGACCAGTAGAATCTCCTAAAAAGTCTACAAAATGTTCTCTTTCTTTTAGCATAAAGAAATACAAGTGAGCTTTTCTAAAAGTTCACATGTAATAAACCATGAATTTCCAGGCAGTTCATTTTGTAAACAGATGGTGATGACTTAAGAAAGATATGTCTAAATTTTCCTTCTAAGTCATTCTAGTGTCATGACAAAGAAATGCTTCTGTCATCAACAACATGTTTAGGATTGACTCCTTCACTTAACAACTTTGCTTTGACGTAGTATGGTAATGTTTTTGCCACGAAGAAGGTGACTTGCAGCACAGCATTTCAAAATACAGCAAAAAGCCCAAAAACCTTGCAAAGACATCCACTGCACTGGATTATGGTGATTTTGGCCAGCAGGTATCATGTCTGAAACCCCTGATGTACACTTTTTCTAACCTCCTCTGCTGGTTCTGTTGTTTTGTTCGTCCTTTCTCTCATTTCTTCTGTTCTGCTCCTTCTTATATTCTTTTCTAATTTGTCGTGATCCATTTTGCTTCTGTTCTATCCCGTGTTTTTACTTCATTATGTTTCTTCTTGTTCTCCTCCATCTGACATAACTCAGTTCTGGTCACCTTTCCTCTGAGCTGAGAGCTTCTCTGCTGTTTTGCTGTTCTGTTATTTTCTTTGGTGACCCTGCTCTGTTTGGTTTGCTTTATTCTCTCTTTATTCTACAAAAAAACAAACTTTAATATACTTCACCCATGTCTCTCCTTCTCTTCAATTAAGCTTATTACCAGTGCTCCTTGTAGCCATGACACCAGTTAATCAGATCTCTTTTCTAATCTTCAATTTCAGATATTCTGACTTTGACATATTATTCTGTAACATCTTTAACCTTCTTGCGTGAAGCACGAATGTCCTGCTCTGTTATAATCCTATGGGGTGGTCGGCTCAGCTCCATTCTGGGAGCTCCTCTGACTGTCTAGGTAGATCATTGTCTGTGGTTCATCACACCCTCGGCCTGCAGCACCAGGGACCCAGGTGCTGAAGCAGGTACACACACACACTCTCTCACACACGGTTGAACTGTTCACATCAGGCCACCTCAATTAATCACCTCTGTCTTTGGAGCAGTGACTGCCCTCAAACACAAACGCACACTCATCTGCTCATTCACTGAGGTGTGTGTGTGTGTGTGTGTGTGTGTGTGTGTGTGTGTGTGTGTGTGTGTCGCTGTGTGTGTGAGAGAGGGCAATCTATCAAGGTGATCGATAAATAGGAACATTAATATTAGTAATGGGACTCTCTTTCAGTCCACTGAATATGTCTCCGTCTTTAAGGTAAAATATGAATTTTTCTTGGCACCTGAACGTTTGCAGCAGGACCGCGCACACGGACACGAGCACGCAAGACTCTACCTGCATGCTAAGAAGGAGTACTAACACACACAGAGAGACAGACACACACGCACGCACGCACACATCGACTTTCTCTCTCGAGGGACAGTTGTCTGCGCTGGTCTTTACACTACTCTCACTGCACACAGGCTCGATACAGAGACTGAGGGCACGATCGCGCCAAGCGCGTGCATGCTGCATGTGTGTGCGCGCGTACTTGTTGGAAATTGATTCAGTGTGACTTATGTTAAAACCCAGCGACCAGACTGTGCATTGGATCCTCGCCTCATCAATCATCCCCCGGCTGGCAGGTTATGCGCAATGTGTGTTTGCATGGGCAAGCGCGCATGTGTGACCCACACTGCGTTTTCGTATGTGTCAACCAATTCTATCCATGCGTTTTAAAGGTCACGTCAACGAAATGTCGTTTGCAGATGCTCCACATCTCTCCCACAAACGTGTAACTGAAGAAAAATGAATGCAGCCACTCTGGGCCGTTTGTGTCTGCACTCTAAAATCTAATTTTCCCCAACAGGGCAAAGACCCCGAAAACCCCACGACTCTTTCCCTTCAGCTTCTGCGGGCTGAGGGGCTGATGATGATGTCCAGGGCGGCACAAATCTGTAACAACACGCGCACAGAGAACCATGCGCACGGACTCATCGCCAGACATAAATCCAAAATATACAAGCACTGCCAGCGCAGACCGAAAGAGACCCACAAAGCTCACAGACGCCCGCACAAACAGTGGGAACAATAAAAGGGTGGAAAATCGGGTATTTATCAGAAACTTTCAGTTTCTCGTGTCTTAGTCAGGTCAAACTGAGCGTCTTTAAACATCACTCACCTTGGTTTAAAGTGATCGCCAAAGTTATGATCCACAAAGCTGGCATGGTTCAGCCGAGCGCATTCAGATTCCTCCCCTCGGCTCTGCCTCCCCAACAAGACACCATCAATTCCTCCCGATCGGGTGAATTTAACCGGAATCCTCTTTGAGTCATGAGAGTGCAAAAACACACATTTAGAAAAAAAAAAATCCAATGCTTCTTTAATTCTATTGCCCTTGTCTTTCTTAAACTATGTCTCAGTTTTTTCCGTGCGTAAATTAAACCTGACTCCACTTTTTTTTGTTTCTCACTCTTGGTCCCTTTTCCTCTGTGCGCTTTTGATTCCCATTTAAATAGGACTGAATTCCTCTCTCCCTCTCTTCTCTTACTCTCTCTCTCTCTTCCTATGTGCCCCCCCCCCCCCCCCTTTCATACAATCAGTAGCACACACCCCCTCCCTCCTTCACTACCACCACCTCCACCTCTTCCACCCCTCCCGCTCCAAATCTCGGTTTTAGAGAGAACAGAGAGGAGGGCGCTGCTGCGGCCACAACAAGAACTGCGTTTAAAACATAAAAAGAAACCCAAAAGTCAGGTGTTAAACTTTACAAATGAATGCTGCTTTAAGGATGAAAACACAGATTATGCAGATTATGGATGTGAATAGTTTGTAACCTTTAAATTAAAGTAGCAAAGCAGTGTAGATAGTGTAGATAGTTAAATGTTTAAGTCAGATATTCTGGACATTAATTCGATTCACATAAAAAACGATCAGAAATTTGCATTGTTCAAAGCTTTAGGCGTCTTGATCATTTCATACCAGATTGTGTATATCTGGCTATGGATGACAGGACTACAGATTTTCATGTGCCGATCATAGTTTTAAAATACTAGAGTAAATTCTTTGCTCATCAAATCACAGCAAAAGAGTTTTTGAATAGCTTTTGAGAGCTAAACCATAAAAAATCATGAATGTTGAATATTTATACATGTTGCTATTACTGTTACTATTAGGACTAGTGCAATAACAGTGGCCCGATCGTATCCAGTGTGCTAATGGGAATATCTGCTTATAGAGGGAATTCGTATTCATTTGTATTTATTTATTTTTAAAGCGTAAAAGCCACCAGAACACCTGTTTAATTGCAGCTAAGAAGTTTCATTGCCTGCAAATACAGCAACATGTAAATTGCGTTAAAATTGCATAATTCACCACCCAAATGAGGTCAGCTTTGGCAGTGCACGCATTTGTTGGCACCTACATCAATGCATTTTTGTTCAGTTTGAGCGGGATCACATTTCTGAGGGTGAAAACTAATTAATTTATTATAACGGCATTCTGTTTATTCATCCCAACTGCGCTTTTATATGTAGAACAACTTCCGCAAAAAAATAGTTCTTTATCTTTAAATGAATGGAGAGCACGCATCATCCATCTGTTTTGATGCGACTACATACTGTGCAATTAACCAGTAGCATGTGCACAATATAAGGCTGATTATTAACCTCCAGTACCAACATGTGCTAACAATTTTCCCCAAACCGCAGAGCAAACTAAATGAGAGGACGCAAGGGAAAGATAAGAGCAATGAAAGGAAACCACACAGAAGAAAGAAAGACTTAATAATCGGTTTCAGACATAATAAGATGAATTTTGTTGCCAGTGTCCAATGTAAGTTAATAGAATTAAGTGAGAACATCAGTCAGTAGCTTTCTTAGTTTTATAACCAAAGATCATTTCTGTTTAAACAAGAGTGTTCAGTTTACTATGTTGCACTGCCATCTGTTGGACCTTCTTTTTAGCTGCGTGCTAGAAACAAAATATGCAGTGTGGCTCATCTGGACCTGTTGATAACTTCATTCTGTGGCTTTTAGATTTATGAGCCATTTTATCACATCAATTACTTTCTGGGGGGGAAAGTGTTTTTCAAGCACAGAGACTGATGAAAAGTAAGATGTTTAATCACTGGAAAGAAAGAAAAAAAACAGGAAAAAAAAAACAGAATCCGCTGACAAAGAAAAGAAAGCTCATAAATCTCATAAGCCTGTTTAAAGTCCTAATCAAATCACTACAGATCTAGCATATAATATTCTTTTAAATATATATATATGTATATATTTCTTATATTTTAGCTGAAGAGTATTTCCATAGGCGCAATGCTTCGATTCAAATTGAGTCTAGAATCAGAAACTGTCCAGTCCATCTAGTTCAGAGAGAGATAGGAAGCTATTCTCAACAAATATTTCTCTGATATGATGAATATGAAGGCATTTAAAATCTTAAATAACAGAGAGCGCCTTAGAGGTCTTTGATCTTGAAAAGTCTCAGTTTTTTAAGAAAATGTTGCATTTTTCAATGATGCAGTAAACTGCCGGGACCACAAAATTTTACAGCGTGAAACAGTAAACACAGGTACTAATAACATTAAAGACGAGTCTGTGCTGAGTTATTAAATGTGATTAGCAAAATATGCGTTTAACCACACTTTCATATTAAAAAAAAGTTTCATAAGAAAGCTCTAATGGGCATTTCAGACCTGGAATTTTTACTGTTTCCCAGCATAAAGAACAAATGATAAGACACGTGAAATTAACCCAAATGCATGTTTATTGAAGTCAACAACTGAACTGTTATTTTAACAAAAGTAACCCCGAAAAACAAATACTTTATGAACGTAACAGCCAACAGATGCAAAACCCACCACTGCATGCGGTTGGGCCTCACCTTGATGACATCATCAGCCATAGTACAAATTAACATACATGACAGCACTACTCCCATGTGATATGGATATTTATTCAAAAGGAAGACTTGTCATTCAAAATAATAATGATAAGAACAAAGACATTGTCTGAGTTACTGAAATAAGAACATTTTTGTGAATGCAACACACATGAGAGTAAATCTGAAGTTTGTCTGGGTCAATTATTACACGCTTCACACTCATACACAAACACACACACACACACACACACACACACACACACACATATGTACAAATACACCATAGTAACAGACATCAAGCCTGCTGTGCATATCCAAATGTGTGTGTGGATGTGTTTGTATCCAAAGTGTATGTGCAAAGTATGTAGCTCGTAAGAGTATCTGGTAAAAGGCAACACTATATACATGAAATTAATTAAAAATCGTTGTTGAAACAATAACATATGCAAAAAACTAAATGTCTAACCTTCAAGTTTTGGAACATCTAAATTCAAGGAAAGAAAAAAAGATATCAATTGAAATGAAAACAATGAGATTATGCACAACTTTAATGAAACATAATTTAAAAATTAATTGGCTTATTCTACAAAATGAAAAGAGATGGGCGGCAGCTAGTGTGCGGCTGCCTGAAGAGGAGGTGGCGCGTCTGGTGGAAGGGCAGGACAGCTCGTACCGACCGAGGAGGGAGAAGAAAAGCTGTTGTTTGCTGGCATCTGGTGACAGTCAATCATTACTGCACTGATGCACTGAAATGCAATTAGACGTGAGTGCAAATCTCAGTCCAACACTATACCCCTACGTGGTTTTGATAAGGGCATAACGAGTCCTTTGCCAGTTGCTTCACTGCTTTTCTGCTGTGTTGAGGCGGTGCAGACGGATTTCACTGGGACATGTTTGCAGATCAGAGAAAAGCAGGGAGGTCAGCCGGTTAGGCCGCCGCTTCTCGTCTCAGGAGACGAACTTGTCATCGCTGCTCATCTGCAACACTATCTACACTTTCCAACCATTTCTCATGCAAGCTACATGCTAGCAGACTAACTAAGACAAAGGACAGGACAATAAATTACAGGCAAATACAGGTCCATTAGTTTTTAAAAGACACTACACTTTGGTGAGTATGAGTCAGATATTCCTTTCTCCATTCACAGAGCAGAACTAGACTGAGGTTAAATACAAGTCAATGGTAACATCTTCAAAGTGGACAACAATCTCTGTGAGACAGAGCCAATCCTCTGATCTGCAGGCATGATAGCAGTGAAATGATAGCAGAAGAGTGTTGTAGAGCAAACATCAGATAAACAGTGCAAGCTCAAACACACAGAATCCAAGCACTGTTTAACCCGGGTTCGCTACTACATCACCAGTCACTAAATAGTCTCACCAAGAGCTCTCGGCAGAAAAAAAGAACAACAGCTGACCCTGCTTCAGGTCGCATTACCCTTTGTAGAATAGCTAGCTTATAGACATACTACTTGCTCACAAAGAAGAAAGCTAGGTAGCGGTTAACAACAACACGGGGAAAGGAATGCAAAATCACATTCCCTGAACATTCCCATAAAATGTGTACAAAAACTATCAAAGACATAACTGTCTATAGGTAGACTGACAACAACAGCAAGTGGATTCCTCTCCAAACACTCCCAAACAGTGCTTCGAAGAGCCATCAGCACACGCCAGCAAAGCTATAGACGCTACTTCTACTGTACGTCTATGTGAACTCGTGGATGAGAGACCAGGAAGGAGAATCAGACATCAATCAGAGATGGAGTGGGGGAGACGAGTGATGAGAAGAGGGGACATGGGGTGAAGGTGGATCAGGACGCAGACGGGATGATTGATTAAAGAATGCAAGAAATGGACGGGCAGAGCAGAGGGGGAAAAAAAGAGAAGAGGACATTTAAGTTACTAAATGACTTTCTTCAGTGTTAGTGCCGCCCAGACTCGGCACCCTGCCCACCAAACCAAAGCTTGGCATGTGTACAGTCTAGAGCCCAGAGCCTCTTAGTTAGATTGCAATCAATTTCAATGACCGGGCCAAGTGGAGCTTTCAGTGCTAAGGCGAACTTCCAACCTTAATAAAACACTGTGCATTTATGGGAACCTTTTGCTAAGCTGGTAAATGATTCCTGCTTGCAATAACACACATACACACACACACACAAAAAAAACAAACAGTAACAGAAAGGTTTTTTGCCGGGAAGTTTGTCATAATGCATGTAGCCAGTCCTATTTGGCCCTGTAGTGGAAAAGCAAGCAAGCATTTTCACCTCTGAAAGCAGCAAATGTGCCAACCTCTTAGAGGAAGTCATGATGTCACTACTCAATGAATTTAGCGCCAGGTGGCCTCGCCAAGACAAGCAGTCTGCTGCAGAGAGAAAAACGGCGAAGGTGAACCGTGGGATCAGCGGGGCCAGCTGGAAGGAAAGCCACAGTGGTCCACAAGTACAAACACTGGGCAGCAGAATTCAAGATAAACTCCACCACCAACTTGTCGCCGTTCAAAGCTCTCGACCGAAGGTGTGCTGCTGATTAGCATTTAGGAGCAGAGAGCCGACAAAGCAGGGAGAAACTCCATTCATCAGCGAAAAAAGGAACTAAGTACATAAACATTGTTGAAAACCTGAACATCAAAATCAAAATACAAGTTAGGAATTCGATTCATGGACTCCTGGGCTGACAAACTGACAAACACTGTAAAAATGTTAACACTGACAGTAACATACTGAGACACTGACGAGAGAAAATCCCTCACGAGTCCCCAAGAGATCAAAGAAAAATAGAAAAAAAGATCAAAGAAAATCAGAATATACAAATATTTGCAGTTAATGTTAGTCTTCATCGCAACATCATTGTTGTTATGTTTCTATTTTTTACCCAGATATTGATATTTCGACTCTGCATTTCCACGCATGTAATAAAAACAGGCAGGCTTTTTTTTGAGTATATAAGTATATACTGTAATGCAGTAACAGACTGTATGAGTTACAGGAGAGGGGGGGTGGAGAGAGAAAGAGAAGGGGGATAGAAGGAGAGACAGAAGGCAGAAACAGGACAGAGAGAGTGTATTTACAGCACACCAAACATTTTCTGTCAAGTAAAAAGAATGCTATATAATTCTATATATATATATATTTATATATGTATACTGGAGCCCCTGGGCTTTGTAGCACAAGGTGGGAATGCTGTTTTTGCATGGGTGTTGCATGTTTTTGTGGCGTTGCATTGTGGAAAACTCGATGGCTCGTACCGGGGTTTGCGAGGACGTAGGAAGAGGTTTGATGGCATAAAAAGATTAAACCGTGAGAGAGGGAGATTATGTTTGTCAGTAATAATTTGCTTTAGATGGATTTCTCTGTCACGAGGAGGCTTATAGAGGGATTCTGCCTTGTTAGATGTAGAGAATGAGGAGGAAAAAAAAGTGAATAGACAGACCTGGTTTGGATTAAATGTTGAGAAGACAGGTTTGAGAAGTGGAATATCAGCTCGACATGTTGGAATGTGACTTACAATTTTGATTTTTCACGGCGCTGACAGTTCAAAATAGGCTACGATGCTTGTGTGACAATGTGTTAATGTGTCAGAATTCGGATGCGTGTTAGTAGGAGGCTCCCGTTTGTTATTCTGAGCATCTATGAGCATTCACGTCTGTGTGAAAACAGATTCACCCCTTAACTGACACAAGTATGTTGCATGTTCGTGTGTGTGTTTGAGTGTAACATTAGTTCATCCATATGTCAGTGCAAAATCTCACTTCCCTGTATCAATGCAAAGAGGGTAGTACCAGCTGAAGCTCAACTCAGCCCAGAGTCCTTTCCCCCCATTCCCATCCCAATCATCCCTCCAACAGAGTGAAGAACTGAAGCATCGTGAAAAAAAATCGAAGTTTCCTTTCCTTCACTCTTCCCCTCTCCTCCAATCCACGTCCTCCAACTTTTTCTCCGCCTCCTCCCGCTTCTTTCCTCCACCACTCTGTTCTCTATCTAGATAAAGTACTCTTTCTTGTCCTCTGCTCCGGAGTGACCTCCTTCTGCGTTGATGATGGCTGTGTCGGCATCCGGGGCATCATCTGAGCCCTTGGCCTCGTGGGTCAGATACGTTCCTGTGGCAGGAGAGAGAAAAATTTGGAGAAGTAAGATTAAATAAGGCAGCGAAAGTGCAACATTGTAACTGTAAAAATTAACCAGACAAAGACCAGCAGAAAATAAACCATTGCAGTTTGCTACACAGTGTGTTGCTAGCTAAAGGTCCAGCTGCTTTATTTAAACCTTACATGCAAGTTCTCGTGTTTTTAAATCATCCATCCATCCATCCATTCACTTCCGCTTATCCTTTTCAGGGTCGCGGGGGGCGCTGGAGCCTATCCCAGCTGTCATAGGGCGAGAGGCGGGGTACACCCTGGACAGGTCGCCAGTCTGTCGCAGGGCTAACACACAGAGACAGACAACCATTCGCACTCACTTTCACTTGCACATTCACACCTAGTGGCAATTTGGATTATCCAATTAACCTATCCCCACAAGTTGCATGTCTTTGGACGGTGGGAGGAAACCGGAGTACCAGGAGGGAACCCACGCAAACACGGGGAGAACATGCAAACTCCACACAGAAAGACCCCGGCCTGATGGTGGAATTGAACTCAGGACCTTCTTGCTGTGTGGCAACAGTGCTAACCACCGTGCCACCGTGCTGCCGTTTTTAAATCAGATCATGAAATTATGTTTTTTCATATTGTGAAATGTGCTGCTAAACAAACTGAGGCAGACTAACTGTGCTATTATAAGGCTGCATGAAAATACTCTGCAGGTTAGTGCAGGATAAACAGGTGAGCTTGCTGTACTGTGATGGATTAAAGTAAAGTGTGTGACTGGTGCACAGTGGCTGTGGTTTCATGGCCAGAGTTAGGTTACATCAAGTGTAGCAGAGATTAATATGGATTTTTGCTGATGATGCTGAGATCCATTGACTGAACTCTATCTTCATACCAACTTTATACCATCTAGAAAAAAGAGTGTACTGACAGTGTAGATGGAAATCAGCCAGAACAACTCATGAAACATCTGCTGACACCTGGTTCAATTCAGGTGTGCAAATGACAAAGAGCAGCAGGTCAGCTGATCACAGCCTGCACACTAAGAAAATCTACGAGAGCTCTCGATAGAAATTATTGTGAGTTATATTCTTTTCCCCACAGTGAGCCATTGCAACCAATTTTAGGTTTCCCCACCTGCTGAATTCCACTTTAACCCCTGACTGTACACATTTTTCTGTTTAGAGGCAGACACCCTCTGCAATGTAGGCAACAGAAAATAGATATGTATTTTTTTTTATCTTCCTTCTTTTTCTTCAGATTCAAGCTGAGTATAATTAGAATAACAAAAAGTATGCATTCCCATCTAGCCATTCATTTTATCATTATGTTAATATAGCACAAGGTTCAGTTAACTTTGCACAAAAATAGAAACATCCTTGTTACTTTCTTACTTTGAGTACATTTCAGAGCCTGCTATTTTGCTTTTACATTAGTAAAGAAGTTAAATCAGTACTTCAACTTTTACTGGAGTAATTATTAACAGCAGTATTTCTACTTAAGTACAGAACGTCTTCATGCCAAATATCTCTAGGGAAGAGACAAACCCCAAGTTGCTCTCTGATGCCTCCATCGCAGCATGAATGTGTATAAATGTTAGCTAGAAAGCAGAGAAAAAGTGATTGTGTGAATGGGTAAGAATGGGTGAATGCTCAGGTAGAGCAGAGAAGCGCTATTTAAGAACCAGTTTATTACTATTACCGTTTTAATATGATGTTGGTGCCTGTTTTAAAATAATGTTAGGTCATCATAAGTCTGTTGAATCAAAGGTAGTTAGGTAAATAACCCCATCACCTATAAGGCTTTTACTTCTTACACAAATTTAAATGTAAAGGTCTGAGTGTTATTAGCTTTTTATTGCATGTACTGGTAGTTTACGTCTAATGAATAGGATAACTAGCATTGTGCCCACTATACTCATCACAAATTAGAAACCATATCCATTTGCTGACAAACAATTGCCTGAAACAGTCAGAGGTAATTGGTAGTGAAGGGAAACGGACATCATTCCTAGTAGATCTGGCACTTGTAAACAACAGCCAGCAGGCAGTCGCTTTCAATATTCTACCAGCTTGAAGCACCTGACTCAGGGATTGAATCTGGTTGAGTGGTGGTGGAGTTTGTTTTAATCAACCACCCCACCTGGGTACTGAAACAGGTCTTTATTGCCTCTGAACTTTGCATTACAGTATTTACTGTTTCCGTCCTAAAATTGGACTGAACGCATTATTTTAAATTCCAAATAAAAGTTGGTGATGTAACGAAAAGAAAAGGCTGGTGACACATCGCCGATGACAGGCAGTCTAATTTAAAAAGGGGGGTTATGTGAACCAAAATGTTTTAAAAAGAAATAAACATTCTCTTTGTGTGAGTCATTCATCTTCTTATTCTGATTTGAGCATAAATAAATTCATTAATTCCAAGTTTTAAGCTTATAACTCACATATACTGTAGGTGTAACTGCATTTGCATTTCTTTGTGTTCCTTCATTTGTATGCATATTTGCAGGTGCGAGATCCAGTCTTGGAGCTCATGTATCCATATTTATGCAAGTGTATCTCTGTGTATACTCGTGCACGCATGAATGAGTGTGCGTCCGTGTGTTCATGAGTCCGTGTTTGTGGGAGGCAGTGACCTTTGTGTCTGATGAGGTATCTGCCGAGGACGATGAGGAGGCAAAGCAAGATAAAGACGATGACAGCCACTACCCCTCCGATCACGGCGTGGTCCACCCCCGAAGTCGTCGACATGGCTGTGGGGTCTTAAGAAAAGGTCGAGCAGTGTGGAAGAAAGAAGAAGAAAGGGGGGAAGGGGAAAAAAAGAGAAGGCATGATAAAGAAAAAGAGAAAAAAAAGCAAGAGAAAATGAGGTAGAAGCAGCGAGAAATAAGGGGAGAGCATGACAGAGAGACAGAGATTGAGAACAGAGGGGGAGACGAGGGGGTGGAGGAATATTGGTGGAAACGGATGATGAAAGGCGGTAGAAATAAAGAGAGTGAGAGAGAGAATAATGGGGAGAGTGACAGAGAGAATACAGAGCGAAATGACAAGAACAGGGGAGCAGAGAAGACTTGTCAATATATAAAACCCACTGAGGCAAAGTTTCAGAAGACAAAGACAGGGATGTGAAAAAGCCAGGCGAAAGAAAGAAGGCCACTGAGTCACCTTAAAAATTGTTTGCAGTCTACAAACCAAGTACCAATCACTTCGTGGGAACCTTGCGGGAACACACACAGACTCTTGATGTTGGCTGAAATCCTGACCCCTTCAGCCGTGGTGATTTCACTGTGACTGATTGATTTTATGCTCCTCTTTGAATTAAAATGTTCGGTCTTGAGAAATCCAAGGCAATGCACCAAACTGTACCAGAGTCCCAAACCTCCAGGGGCTCCCAAAGCCCCAGATTCTGCTTTTAGGATGATTTGAATAAGTATACATTTATCTAGCAGATTCATTCAATCACGGAGGATTTAGAATGAATATGTTTCATATACTCTAGCACATTTCAGAACTTCTTGTTGTTAATTTTAAATCATTGACATTCCATCAAACAAGTAATGAGTAAGAGTTCTTCATAACTTACTACAGTTTAAAATGATTGTCATGTATTGCAGGATAGTAACACTTAGCTTTTTAATGATTTAAAAGCTGTATTATGAATATATGTTTAAAAAAATATATACAAGTTGAAATTGCAGTGCAACCAGAAAATGCAGCAGATAATTTATTTGTTGCATCTTTTGAAGTTTATGATTCTTCAGTTTAGTTTTAATCCAGTACTTTGTGCAGTATTTGCCTCTGTATTTCCTTTTTTTCCCTCCTGTGTCAAGTTTATTCTTATGTCTGTGTTTCCCTGTTTAGTTGTTTTTACCCATTTAGTGTTTTGCTCTGCTAGCTAGTTGTGTCTTGTATTTAGTTTTATTCCCTCCGTGAGTGTTTTATATTGTCTGCACCCGCGTCTTGTTTCTGTCCAGCTGTGTCTAATCCCCATCAGCCCTCATTGTGAGCTAATATAATCCTATCATTCCTTTGTCCAGTGTCACAGAGTCCGTTTACCCTCCCAGTCTGTTTTCTGCCAGTCTGTTATTCCTGCTTCCTTCTGGATTTCTGTTACTTTGATCATGAACTTTATTGCTGGACTGAGTATTTTCATTTTACTTTTTCTGTGTCTACATATCGGTATCTGAATCCTGAGTTTCCTTCTCTCCACAGGAGTTTGCAAGCTCTGCAGACTCATTACACATAAATAGATTTCCCTAACCATTATGTGTAGTTATCTATGAGTCCTTACTAAGATAATATGACACAACAGTTTAAAAATAATCTTGTTTTTTATTGATTGCTTATGCTCTACACGACTCTGCTTGGATCAGCTTGTTGTTGTGTTTGTGGTGTTCCAAACAAATGCTGCCACCAGGGAAGTTGCAGGCCACCTTCAGATAGACAAACTATGCAACATCAACACCTAGAGATGAAGGCTGCTTCTCACGTCTCTTCTTTATTTTGTTAATCTTCATTTATTGGCCGTTATAACAGCTGACACCATCAAATCAGCAAATAGCTCAGCCAAGTCATGCTGTACATGACATAAAAGAAGTGTCATAAAAATACAGGAAAGGCCTAACGGTAGCACTTTAGGATAATGTCACACTATTAAGCATTTGCAAGATATTATAAAGGTATTAGCAAGTGCTTAATTCATCATTCATATAACATTACTCCTCGTTAGTATGCCATTTATAAACACAAATATGTTTGTCCATCTGTTACACCAGTAACACCTATCATTGCTACTACATAACAGCTAGTAACAATGATAATCATGATCATAGTCATAAGTATTTATCTGTATTTTTTAAACGTCAAACTAAGGAGGAGTAATGCTATATAAATGATGGATTAAGCGCGTGCTAACGCCATAATAATGTTCATAATTATAAAAGTGCTAACAACTTAACAAAAATTTCATTTATGTAGCGTCTACACTTCAACACAATTATTTCAGAACAGTTTTTCATTTTTCTTTTTTTCTTGACTTGGGTAAGTTTCTGAATAATGTTCAGTTGACTTTAAGAGAAGACATCCTTTTCTCTTCTTTAAAGTGTTTTTTTTTTCTGTTTGTTTGTTTGTTATGTTTTGAAGAGATGAAGGTTTTTCAGCCAACAACAGAAAATTTTGAGTTCCTCTTGTTGCCTCAAATCAGCCACTTAATCAACTTACTCTTCAGAAGAGAAAGCGATCTAAGTGGAAATAACACAATACATCAATCATTTCGCCTGGCTTTTTAGAACTGATCAGACACTGGGTGTTCATTATTTGAAAGTCACTTAGGCAGGAACAACTGAAATGCAGCGTGTCTTATACCAAAAAACACAAAAAACACACCTTAAAAAGATATTAGAGGAATAAAAAGGAACGATTTTGGAGAGGCTGTTTTTTTTACCTGGCAATCAGCAAGTTAAAACAATGTGGAGGACAAGCTATTTTTCTTTACACTCAATTGGATTGCAGAACAGAGACACTAAAGCACAGCAATAGCTACTGTCAACCAGAAATAAAACTGAAAGTGAACATGGAAGAAAAGAACATTTTACAACCAGCTGGGTCACCAAAGGATGTAGTGAAGGGCCTTTTTGTAGGAGAAATATATTTCAGCCAATTGGAGACGTGAAGGGCCTGACAGTGGTGAACCAGAGGCCAGCTCTAGACAAGAGAATGGGAGAAAAGAGGAAAAGGGGAAAGCGGAGGGTAGGACTCTGTACGTCGATCAGAATAACACACAAACACAGAGAGTCGGGCACACACTCTGGTTGGCCAGCGTGGAGGTGAGAGAGGGGCATGCTGACGAGGCGACACTGAGAATGAGCCCATAAATCCTGCTGTCAGCATCAAAGGAAAGCAGACAAGACCCAAGAACACCTCGAAGCCTGACCCCCCTCCCTCCTTGGTACGCGCACATACACACACACACAGAGAGAAACACACACAGAGGAAGTGGAACACTGTGTAAATGACTTGTACCACTTAAGGGGTCATGCTAGTCTGTGTGTCTTTGGGAGATAGAAGTGAGTGTGGATGTGAGTGTGTGCAGCACGTGGGAATGGTGGGTACTTGTGTCTGGAGCCAGTCTGTGTATGTATGGGCAACAACAAAGCATTATGTGGGCAGAGTATAAAATATTCATCCCTCTACTCACAAGTTCAAAGTGTCGCCAGACTACTTTTTCCCCCCAGAATCACAGACAGTCAAAAACAAAACTACAAAGAGTCAGGCGGACAGACAGGTGGACGAAAAGTTGGAACGACAGAAAACAAAAAGACCACAGGTGACTGGTGGAAAAGTTATACCTGTAATGTTGCGTGCTTCATCTTCAGAAGTGGATGGGTGGATGGATTGTTGAATGTATGGATGGAGGGAGGGATGGTTGGTGGTTAGGTAAGTGGAGGAATGTTTGTTAAGGAAGAGATTTGGGGTTCAGGATAATCAACGGGAGGAAAGAGGAAGACAAGAAAAAAATGTGAAACAGCTGTGACACAGCCAAACAAATGCCATTTTTTCCTTTATGGAGTGCTCCGTCATTTCCTTTGTTGCCACGCTTTTTTCTGTGTTTGCGTGTGTGCGCGCATGTAACACAAGGTCAGAATATTTTTGACTGCTACACAATTCAAGATCAATTTTTGGTACAGCGGGAAAACATAAGAAAGCTTCGTTTTGGATTTTCTCGGTTATATTAAGATTCTCGCATCTCTTTGCTTACAGGTGTGTGTGCGTAAGTGTGTAACTGGTTTTACCTGTGAAAGTGTTAACTCCATTCAGCTGGACTGAAACTGGGGGCGTAAGGGAGGAGGCAGGGGATGAGTAGGCGGGAGTGGCAGTGATGCTAGAAGAGCTGGTGGAAGGAGGAGTTGGGGATGAAGTGGGGTGGGGGGAAGAGGAGTCTGGAGAGAATGGCAGGTTGGGGAAGAGAGCGTTGGAGAGGGTCATGGTGGAGGATTCAGAGATGGTGGTTGACACATCAGTTGATGAAGGGGAGGAGTTTGAGGAAGAGGAGGTGGTGAAGGGGTCAGTAGTGGAAAAGGGGTCAGAGTAAATGGAATCAGAGCCAGAGCCGAAGAAGCTGTCGGTAGGAGAGGAAGATGGGAGGGAGGAAGAGGGGGTGAAAGATGAAGAACCAAGTGAGGGAACTGTGACTTTTGGGGAGTCTGGGTCCATGGGATCTTTGAGGAGGTCGAGAAAAAAAATGAAGCGCAGCAGGAGAAAAAAACGGGTGAGCAAAGCGCAAAAACGACCACGAATTGAATGAACGGGTCACATAATAGCAAAGGGAGAGAAGCGCAAGAAATGAACGAAAGCGGTTGGATGGTTGTGGTCAGGCGCGGTTGGATGAGAAAAAAACAAAAAGAAAAAACAAAGACAGGAGGAAAGAAACAAAAGAAAATCAGAAGAGAAAAAAGATGGAAGTACAAGCAAAGCCACAACAAACAAAAGAAGGAATAAAAAAACGTGATGAAGAAAGAAAACATCCCAGAGTCCCTCTCCTTCCTCTTTCTGTCACCACACATCCCTTTTTTCCCTCTTTTTGCTTTTTCTCCTTACCTTGCACCAAGAGTGTGTACTCCCCCTCGCTGCTTCCAATGCCGTTGTCAGCGTGGCACACGTAGACGCCATTATCTGATTTGTTGAGCATCGAGAAATGCAGGACAGCACCATCAGGTTTGGCCTGTAAGGGGAGCCCTCCATCTTTCTTGTCCCATGTGTAGATAGTGGGCCTGGCAGACAGAGAGAATGAGAGACCTCAGCTGAAACATATACAGTCTGAACAATCAAAAGATTCTACAGTGATGAGAGAGGGGAGCTGTGACAAGTGCTTCAGGAGAAAGAAAAAAAGGTTGAGCGAGACAGGCGAAAAGAAGGAAGGGTCAAAGGAGCGGGGAAACTGGGAGGAATAAAGACAGAAAAAGAAAAGATAAAAGCAGGAGAGCAGAGCAGAGGAGACACGAGGAGAAACAGGAGGAGAAAAAAGGAGGGATAGGGAAGTTGTTGCAGGAGACAGCAAAGTAGATGAATAAAAAAGAAAGATGGAAAAAATAATGGCACGGCTTGAAGAAGAAAGGCGCTTAAAAGCGACAGAAAGAGAAGAAGACAACAGAGTGAAGATCAGCATTTCAAATCAGGCTGCGCTAAAAAATCCATTCTGCATAACAGATTGTGAACGAGAGAGATAGCGAGACGAGCTTTGATAAAAGAATCAATTATGTAAATGTGCAAGTCCTTAAGCACTGTACAGTAATTAGGATGACGGGGAGTCTGAATCGGGCACAGACCTGAATATACTGGACTGATTAATCACTCTTGGAAATGTGAAAAAACTCCTAGCGACACCTAAAGGTGCGATCCGTAACTTCACGGCTTTGGCCAGGTTGGCATTCGTACGCTAACTGTAAATGGCAGGAATAATGAGCCTCTTTGAATAAGCTACTTCAAACCAGTATTTAAAACCTAGCTGGATGAGTCGCAGCTGTAAAGGAGTAACTCTGTTGGTCTTTGCTGCTGGGTAAAATTCTCCAAATGGCTGAAAGCTAATGAAAAACACAATCTGCTCCCTTGACACTTCCTGCGGAGATAACGCTTGGAAAGACCAAGTGTCAAAGTTTCGAGTATGCTTCATTTTAGGCAAAGAAATCCTAACAACCCTGAAGGGAAAGCCTTTCAGTGCCCCGAGGCAAATAAAAGATGATTATTCAACCATAAAATGTTTAAAAATCAGCATGTCGTTTCAGTGCATTGTGTGGTTACCTGCAATAAAATGTAATCTTCTGTTGTTTTACACCGCTTCCAAATGCTTGATAATGTGCAATTAACCGAACAATTAACTCCACATTTACAGGCTGTGACTCGTGTAGTAATATTAAACATAATGCTCGATATACGTTTACGTACAGCGGGGCAGCTTAAGTGGAGAAAGCGGATTGGTGAGATCACGATAATGATCTGATAATTCCCAGCATGCAGGTCTAAACTATGCGCTTTATTCTTGGCTGTGAGCCCCGCTTAGGTGGAAAGTTTTCAATTAGCACACATGCATTAGTAAACACTGTACAAAAGTCATGATACGCTTGAAGACATTCCTTATTGCAATTATGGGTACTTTGGAGCTGCATACGCCTCCCTCTCCCAGTTGTAATCATTATCACTGAGAAGAATGAGCTTTTGGGTATTTCTGCTAAATTATTAATATAAGATTTGTTAAATTAAGCTAATTTATAAAATCTTTGTAATTCAAGAGTTATTTCAACCGAACATATCATGTCAACAGATAATGGTATTTTTACAATTAGAGATTATAAATGGATAAGCCTTGTGATTTTTTTTATGTTGTTTTTATTTTTGATTAAATCCCAGAGACTACACTGTTACTCTCGCTCTTTCCAACCCACTCTGTGGCGCTCAGTCCCAAGGTCACTGTTTCCTGCAGAATATAGACAGCCTTGAAGCTGCTCTAATTACCTTTTTTGTATTAACAATGGGTGAAATGATTATGCTACTAATTTTTTTTTTCTGTTTTCATCAGACAGACAAATTCAGCAGTTGAAGCTTGCAAAGATTTGGAGGATTTAGATGCTAAAGAGCCACAGCCGACCCTTTGGGAGTTTTTAGAGACTAAATCAGCAAAGGTAAAAGAACATCGCTCAGCAGACGGGGCATACAGACTCAACTTACAAATGAATGGCAATGTTGCTCTGTGTGTGCATGTGTATAAATAAACTTCTGTTTGACAACCTGTTTGCTGTAGAAACACAACAGCGGTATTTAACTTACAGCCAGTGGGCCAAACTGGGCCCACCACAGGCTGCCGGCTGGTGCACTTATTCATTAAATCAAATTTACTAAAGAGGCTCCAGCTACGTTTAATGTTGTTTGAACTCCTTCAGTTGTAACCAAAGCATTTGTAACTAATTCAGATAATAAATAAAGTAAAATATGTGCTTTATCTGTATCCACAGGCATCATATCTATGCTTCCATGAAATTAATGCAGTTTAAAAGTCACTAAATCTGAAAATAAAATTGATGACTTGGAGGCCTTTTAATCATTATTCACTCTTTATTTATTTAGTGCTGTTAGGATAATTAACTGGACCCTGATTTCCTGTCATTTAAAAAAAATTACCCCCAGGCAAAGAAGTGTATGGAAAGGTCCTCAAGGCTGAGTATACCTGCCAGCAATGTGGCTGTATGTTAGTGACAAACAGTGCGCTGCAAATGCTACTCCTCATGTCTTTATACTTTCCTTCCAAGCAGACTTTCTTGTATTTTTTAAAGTGGTCTTAGGCAATAGCTCTCGAGGCATTTTGATCTTTTACGGTTTTTCTGCTTTTTCTACTCACTCTCAACTCAGTTGTTGTACCTGATCTTTTTCAGAGGAATTTTGGGAATTACAAATCTGTTAATGTAGAATTTCCAGATTATCTGTACTTTACTTGAGTATTTTTTTTTACGTTTACTAAATTTTTTAAACAAATATCGGTACTTTCTACTCTTTAGATTTTCAAAACAGACTTGTTACTTTCGGTTTAACACATTTGAAGGGAGTTTTTATTTCATGTCACTGCGGGCCTTCAAACATTAAACACATAAAAGACAATCCTAATAGCATATCAATCACCAGGGGTTATTGCATTAAAAAAAAGATGAAAGAGGCAAAACCATACAAGCTATGCATAATTTATATTGCCAGTCAAGGTGGGCCGGCGTTTGTTTTTTTCTTTGAACAAGTGGAGATGTTTTTAAGTTGTGTTCGCAGTACTTCAGTACTTCTAGCTAACCCTACAGAAGAAGAGCAAGTACAAAGGCAGTAACATTTTTTGAGTGGCAGGTAATTTCAAATGTAACGTTATTATCAGCTCAACAAATATCAGCAAGCGCACAAAGTGTGCAGTTTGTCGCACAGTGTGTCTGCCTGCTAAGGGTCCAGCTGCTGTTCTTCACAGGGAGAGAAAAGAGTGCAAAATAACTTCACTCAAACAAACAGAGTTATACTAACTGTGTGTTATTGGCAGGTTGCATAGTGGATGTGGTGTTCCTGGTTATAGTTAGGTTACATGAAGGATAGCAGAGATTAATATGAATTTTAGCTGATGACACTTAATTCACTGAATTCCACCTTCATACCAACTTTATACTGGTATAAAGACAGAATAAACAATGTCGGTGTAGAGGATAGGAATCAACCAAGATAGGACTGCTTGCATCTTTTTGAATACAGTTGTGTAACTCCACAAAGGTCAGCAGGAGCACAGATCAGCTCATCACAGCCTATATACTAAAAGAATCTACTGGAGCCCACAATATAAATTATTGTAAGCTATTATTCTTTTCCCCACTGTGAGCCACTACACCTGAATAAAATTTAGACTAAAGTAAAGTTTATATTCCTGTTTGCTAACATTATTTTATTACATTAATATAGCACAAGGTTCAGTTGCACAAAAATAGCTGATAGAGAGGTCCTAAAAATGACTTTTTACTTTCTTGCTCTGAGTACATTTCAGAGCCTGTACTTTTTCACCTTTACTTGAGTAAATAATTTAAATCAGTATAGAATATCTGTACTTTTGCCACTTCTGATGAACCGGTGTCTACGCATAGCAAACAACAAAAGAAACTATTTTCAATCTTCATGCATTTAACTACTAGCAGCCTGTTGCACAAACAGCAGGCTGCCTCATTTAATATAAAATAAAATGCCAATGATAACACATTGTGATTACCATGAAATAGTACTTTTGCAACAGTAAGGTGATTTTCAAAGAGTTAATAACTTAAAACCTGGCACATCTCTGCAGCATGTCCTTTAAAAATTTTGAGAAACTGCACAAGTATAGGACAAATGAAGAGGTCGCAGTGCAAAAAGATACCTGCAGCAGATGAACATTATGTAAAAGTCACATCTTTAAAAAATAGGAAAAAATCCAGCGAAGACCTGACACAGGACCAGAAAGATGCATCTAGTCCTTAAGCTGATTCCTGTTTGCTGAAGCCACGTCAAAAATGTTCTCGAAATGATATTGGCAAATGAATGTGCTAAGTTACACAAAAAACTGGACTGAAAATCTGTGAAAAACATGCCTGGATTTGGATCCAAATGAGAAATTTTTAGTTGAAATTTTTGTCATGATGCACAGTCATGAAATGTCAGGAAAGAGGTACAACAGTGAGTCCCCACAGCCATCTGTAAAAAACACTGTCGTAGTTTGGAGCTGCACTTCAGACTGTGGTGTTGGGGATCTTGTCAAAATTGATGGAATTATGAAAGCAGAAAAGATTTTGATCCACCATGCAATACCATCTGGAAAGCATCTGATTGGCAACAACCTCATTTTTCAGCATGACAATGATCCCAAACACACTGCCAACATAGTAAAAGCAAACCTGGATAAAAACAAACAAACAATGGAACAGTATCAGTCATGGATTGAGTCTCCCAAGGGCTCAGCATTATTGAAGCAGTGTGGGATCATCTTGACAGAGTATCGAACAAAACACAGCCAACATCCAAATAAGAGCTCTGAATGTCCTTCCAGAAGCCTGGAGAAACTTTTTCTTGAGACTACTTGAATAAATTATAAGAAAGTGTGCCTGAGAGAGTCTATGTAGAAGAATAGAGGTGGTCATACCAAATATTGACTTTCAAGCTGATTAGAATTATAGTATGAGCTTTGTTTTTGCCTTGCTTACTGCATTTCCATCTATGTTTGCATGTCTAAATAAACTGCTGCACCTATTTCCCATTTTCCTAGCAACATATAAAGAAATAAGATGTGGATCAAGACTTTTGCACAGTACTGTAAGCTATATTACGCTTTGGTTACAAATATTTGGTCTTTTTAAGAAAACTGAACTACAGGACATGGACGGCCTTGTCCGTTAACAAGCCACAGGTTAGTAATCTTGTAACGTGTCACCTGCTGTTTTCTAAACATAGCCACAACCTTGCAGACTTAAGGAAGCTTGCAAGCATTAGGTCAAGGTTATGTCAGGCTTTTAAGCTGTAAACATGTTAAGTGAAAAGTCTGGGGAGAGATTAACTCAGTTATGTGACTTGAAGAATAGAAATGTAAAGCGATTGTGAGCACTACCCTGTGTTCCTGATCAAATAAATGGGAACTATAATAGAATGTAGCGCACAAATCCTTTTCTCTTCTATTAGAAAGTTCTTGCCGCTGGGCGTCAAGGAAACACAGTATAGAATTTGATACGCTGTTATTCTTTTGAACCTGACAGGATGTGACCACAGAGAGAAAAGTGTGTATCCTGGAATAGAGTGTGACATTCATTGAGTTTGATTGGGGCGGGCGGTTAAAAAGGAGGACAGGGAGCTGAGTGGCTGGGTGTGTCGGAGGAAAGGTGTTGTTGCAGTGATTGGGTTTTGACTGACAGCTGCAGGGGCAACCTGTATCTGACTCGATTGGACACTAGCTCATCCACAAGCAGCGGTGCACATAACTGAGCACACTCCCCTCTCTCTCCCTCACACACACACACTCTTGTTTGCGCTCCCCCTTTCTGTCTTAGTCATTCTCTGCTTGTCACCATATCTTTCTGTCTCCCCTCTGCCCACGCTTTTCTCCGCTTACCTCTCCCCTCCTGTCAGTTTGTTTTCCTTTCCTCTCTACCTTTATTTTCTTTGCCTCTTTTTTTCTCTCTTCACTTCTTCTGTGTGTGTTTTTTCCACTGCCACTCAGCAGTCATTCTTATCTAAAGCCTCTCCATGTACTCCATGTAAATTTTTACAGTGGGTGATCCCAATAGGAGCACCCTGAACGTTTGCCCTGTCAAAGCCATTTCAAAGTAGACACTGCAGATCCATTTATTATAACAGAACAAGACTATTCCTTATGCAGAACAAACATGATTCAGTGGACGGTTGAAATGTTTCCCAAACAAATGGATTTCTAGCATTGGTGGTCCCCTGACTGTGGCACACTCTCCATGCCTTGCTTCCATGCTGCCTATAATTTATCCACAACCATGCTGCCTGTTACAGCACGTACATGCAATGACAGTCACCTCCTCCTCCCCCGCCCCCTGTGCATTCCACCTGCCAATCAAACTTACCAGCTAGTTTTCTTCCTAGCCACTCCTGTGATGAGCTGACAGGGAAAGAGAATGAGTAGGGAAGGGATGACAGCAGAGTAGAGCGGGAGGGAGAGTGAGGAGGGGAGGGATGGGGGGTTTAGAGGGAAAAGGTGTGAGGAGAGATAGATGAGAGTTATAGGAAAGGACGAAGTTAGGAGGAGGAGGAGGAGACCAAAGGGTGGAGGCATGACAAGGCGGAGAGGCGCGAACGAGCTATGAGTGACAAGGCGGCAGAGAGATACGTGATGATGGAAGGATGGAAGGAGGAAGAAGAGGGAGAAGAACTACAGATCGATGGAGATTCATCTATAATGCAGAAAGGCCAGGGGAAAGTGCATTTGTGTAGGCAGGATTTAAGACGCGGCTTGCAGTTTGTTTCTGTGTGCATGCGGGTATCAGAAAAAACATGTACACGCTGTATCAGTGAACACACCAGAGCTTGTTTGAGCAGATTTTTGTTTTTGTCCGTGTGTGCTCGCACACAAGTCCTGTTTCAACAAGAGACCATTTGCACAAGAAGGCATCAGAAACCGAACATGTTAATTTTTGATTGCTTACAAGTGTTTCTGTGTGTGTGTGTGTGTACTTACTGTGACTGCTGTTACCCGCATAATTAGTGTGAGTGTGCGTGTGCTTTTTTTATTATACGATTGTGTACCTATGCTGTGTGACCTGACACCTTTACAGTGAGAAAATGTGACAGTATTTACACGCGTGTCTGTTTCATTGTATGTTGCTCTAAAATGCCTCAAAATTCGATTGAGGTCCTCCACACAACCAGGGTGAGAGCTTCGATTACAGTAAAGCCAGCCTGAACTGTTCATTACAGGCAGGGCTCCCATCCATATATCTTACAGTAAAACAGGCCAAAGTGCTATATAAGAGGCAGCATTTATCTGAATGTGGTCATGAACTCGGGTTTACTAGACAGGAATCATGTCAAGCAATTGCACTTACTTCAGAAAAGCTACAGGCACTCCACAAAAGGCATATAAACCCTGAATTAACTGTCAAGAAAAAAAAATGGTAGCACATGTTGAAATTTTAGAAAATATTTCTGCTTTAATGATCATTGCAAGCAGGAAGAGGTGCAAGGAATGCGACTTAAAAAGTATTTTTTGACATCAAATACAATGACATCTCGCACCAAGAGTAAAAGCTGATGTCTCTTAACCATGACCACTAATGATTCTATAACCAATCGTAGCACTGTTACGTCTTTATTTAGTCCATTTTAGCCTGCCTTTTTTATTAATCCTTTATTTATCCAGGCAAAAAAATCTCATTGAGATTAAAAATCTCATTTCCAAGAGAGACCTGGCATCATGGCAACAGAGACCTGGCATCATGGCTTTTAAAGCCCACAAAGTAGAGATCAGAGTAACACTTACGCAACTTTAATACCAGGGTGGAAGTGTGAAGCTAAGTGGTTGCAACACCTTTAACTTTGGGTTTTTGTTTGTCAGCGACTGATCATATTAGTTTTAAAAGCTTTTCGGTAACTACAACAATAGGTGAATCCATTAGTGTCGACATTCAGCGGTGATCCTGCTGTCTTCAGTTCAGTAAGAGTGAATTCAGCCTGTTGCTCGGTCTAACCTGTCAGGATCAGTTGAGCACAAAACTAGCAATTATTAGCGTTGCATAGAGAGATGGTAGTTCAGCATCCTGTTATGTTGGACTGAATTATTAGTTACTGATAGTTAAACCTTGAAAAAAAAAGGTGCAACTTGATTGCTTTACCGCTCATTCAGCGGGATTCTTCGGTTCTAAAAGAGTCACTGTGATTGTCGTTTTTGTGATGTTTTTGTGTCTTTCACAATCATTTTTTTCTTTGTTCTGTGACACACTGTGAATCACAGCTCAGCATACAAGAGCGCCATCAGTCACAAGTGGGAGGAGCTTTACTGCCAATTCAGTCAATGACAAGGTTCACTCACTCCAGTCATTTAAAAATATTTCAGCTGTGAATCATTGAGTTTGGGCAAAGAGGAGAGCCTTGGTTTTCTCGCAAGCTGCTGGAAAATGCTGAAACATGACCATGACATTATGTGCTACATAGTTAAACCAGATATAGGATATTGTTTGGGATAGTATCTTTTTTATTCACTTTTTAAAATATTGTTGTTCTGACTAATAATTGTGCCTCGAACGGGGTACGTGTGACTGGGTGCAAGTGGTGTCTAGACTCCGGCTAAATCAGAGAGCACTGTATGTGTTTAAGCACTGAGGAATCTGTTTGTCTTACTCGGGGTTGCCGTTGCCGACACACCGAAGAGAAAACTTCTCCCCCTCTCTAGGCAGAGTGCTCTCAGGGTGTATCATCACGTTCGGGGAATCTGTAAGTGTACGACAGACACACCCACAAATATACACAGAGACACAAATTAAAGTTATATAACAGAAGACTTGTAACCGTGCGAATATGCACAATCCCATTCATCCCCATCTCCATCTCCTCCCATCTGCATCCTGTAGGCGTCACCATCTCTCTGCCTCCCACTATGACATAACCCCTTACACAACATCACTTTCCACCGGCGATGCAGTACTGTCATATTTCCCACAGGGTGGCAGCAGTGACACAGACTCCATAACTCCAATTATAGTTTCATTTTAGATGATAACCCTCTCTCCTTATTCACTGTGACTCAACTCTGGCTAAGTGCACCAGCAGAGGAAGGTGAATTTCCTGTGTGGTCATGATTACAGGCAGCTAATGTGGAATTATTGGAGCAAAGATCAAACCGAAAAAGGGGAAAATGGGCTTATACTGCCCAATAAAAGAAAAGGTCAGGATAGAAATAAAGAAACAGAGCAGTCTGAGGTTTTCCACTGCTTCTCACCCATCCCCGAGTAGCTTCTGTACCTGCCTTCCTTCCCCCCAATTTCCCAGTTGACTTACACAACACCCGCAGAGCCTGCTCGCTCCTCTTGTCCCCCGGAGAAAGAGAGGGGTGGTTGACGGCGCAGGTGATGAGCGTGTTGTCATCGCTGGCGCTCACCTCCAGGGTGAGCTCGCTGCTCACGTTGTACGTGGGGTTGCCATCAACAGTCTCCACCACCTGTGGACCGCCTGAGGTGAAGAGAACAAGAAGAATACGGTTAGGAGGAGAGCGCCTGCATCTCAACCTGGCACTGGTACAGTAGTCTTGAACAAAAAATTCACACAACTCACAAGCTATGACACAGAAAAGGACTTTGCACTGTAATTAGGATGTGGCGGTTTCATGTGCAGAACGACAATGACCCCCATTTGTTCCCATTAAATGAAAAATGCTTTTGCAGTTACCTTGTGCCCTCGGGTGTTTTGTTCTGCGATGTATCATTTTGTTCCGCATACACTGTATGTCTGACAATCCATTTCAAACCATATTTTAGCAATGTGAGAAAATATCATTGTTTTCTCTCGTCATCATCATTTCTTTTCCCTGCTGACTCATTCAGCAATGCATAAATCATTCTGTCCAATAAGACTTCACATCACAGAGAATCTTTGTGTTCAAAATAATTAGCTTATGGTACCTTAACCAGAGCAGGCATTAGTGAGTCGACAGAAAATTACTCAACAACACTTATAATTGATCCATATTTTAAGTGATTAATCAAGCCAAATCATTGCACATGTTCTTCTTTGTCAATAATAGGATGTCAATCGAAGACATCTTCTTTCCACTGTTTGAAAATAGTCTTATAATTGTTAACTGCAGCACCACATTTGTTCCATTTTGCAATCAACTACTGTGGTTGTGGTTGAATTTCCTCAAACTCATCCATTGAAAGTTGAACACATGGAAACTGTTTCTTCTGGCAACACTTCTTTTAAATTCTCATGTAATCAAAACACATCTCAAAGCTTTGTATCTATCTTCACATGTGTTTTCTGTACGGGTAAAACTTGCACAATGGCAGCTCCAAATTTCAGCTCTCTTCAGCACCCACAGCCACTGCAATGTAACATCAGTAAACTGCACACAGCACTCTCATGTTTACTAACCAGGCCAGTCTGTGATGTTTCATGCTGAAGGACACCAAAGGGACAAGAGAGGCTAAAGATCTAATGCTGCTAAGTCCAGCTTTCTTTGGACTCGCTTGCTCGCTGTTGCTTAGGAGACGGATTGCATTGCATATGATTTGATCCATCACTGTAGACAGACAAGCAACTGTACTGAAGCAAAGAATTTATCCTGGCAAATAAAGAGCATCTGCAACATCTTCCACACAATCTGTTGAAGCTCTATTTCTCAATTTAAAATGATGAAACAGGTCAGATATTATAGAAAAACTTTAAAGTAACAATATGCTCCGATTTGCATATACTGTAGAAACATTTCAAAAGCTGTTATACTTCTTTCCTTTAAATTCATGGAAGCTGCCACGAAAAACTGTGCTGAAAAAGAACTGGGCAGACGTGCCTGCGCCTGAGCGAGCAACAGCAGCATCGCTGCAGTCATAGTATGAAAGCATAAACACAGTTGAGTTGTTGTCAGCCAGAAATCGCATTCTATTGTAAGAAGAGATATCAAACTGGGTGGTCAGACCGTGAAAGTGGTTGGTGAATCTGGGAAAGTGGACCAGAACCTTATCATTTACTCCTGCATGGGTTGACGCACACACTCACACATGCACGCACAAGCATGGGCACATGTAGGTCAAGCTCATGAATAACATATACACAGCGGAGACAGATAGTGGCAGGAAAGAGGATTGAAAAACACACACCTGTTTTTTTTTGTTTTGTTTTTTTCCCCCACTGTCTCACACTTTCTCTCAAAACCTCAGATATTATAGACACCTCCCTCTCTTCTCCTTCCTCCCCCAGAGAACTCTTCAAATACCACTGAATCTAATGACATCTCTCTTTTTATTACCATGACCAGTCCTCTGACCCACAGAGAAAATTCGTTTACTTTCCAGGTGCATTTCAATAATCGTATGCCACTCTAAGGAGTCACTTTCTGTCTCTCTCACTATCTTCTCTCTCTCTTAATCCACACACAAATACAGGCAGTATATTGCCTTTATTAAAGACCACAGATCTCCAAAACCAGACTTGGGAATGGTGAAGCCCTATTTGTTTACTCCTTGACTCTTGTGTACAGTATTTTTGAATTTGTGCAATTGAGTTTTAATACGGTTTTTGTGCCCAAGGGGTCATGGTACCGATTCAACATATTCATTAAGGAAAAAACAAGATGCAGTCAGTTTAAGTGCTTTTTCCCTAGACAGCTGTGATGCACATTTGCCCATAATTCACATTTCCTCAGTTCATTATTAGATAATCAGTGCAGATTTGCATGTCAGCTGCTGCAAGCAGAGCAATAACCAAATCAGACTGGAAAATAGCAAAATATTTTGCTACATTGGATTATGCATCAGCTAGCATATTCTAAAGGGTCAGTTTACCAAGAACCTGAAAATGGCTATAATTATTTAATAGTTAAAACACTTTGTTCATCCCTTTGAATTCAAGTCTTGGTTGTTTTATTTCAGAGTGATTGTAGCAACATACAGAGACACTCTGAAGTCTTTTTAACTGTAACACATAAGCATATCCATGCAGATCAATTTGTTTTGTCCCCTTGGTCTGTGATATTCATCTTGAGGACTCCTGTCTCCATCCATATAATGTGAACTTTAATAGAATCTGGTGCACACAGCATTAGAGAGCGAATCTAAAAAGAACAAAAAATTCTCCGCAGAAACAAGGTCCTCGTTACTGTTTCTCCAATTAAAGTGGTTCATAGTGGAATAACTAGGATGTTATTTCTGGAAACATAGGTCATTGTTAAATTTTTTAAATATTTTACTTCTGACTGCTGTGGGCATGAAACTTTATTCATCATCACCGAACTGAAGATGAGACAGAAATCTTCAGACAAACTCAAAACCTGAACAAGATAATGGATATAATATGTACTGAAAGCTGCTATAATGAGTACTTTTTCTATTAACAATGGCCTACATGACTCTGTGATTGGGGTGGATTCTAGCAGGGAAGTCTCTCCCACAATCTGGGAAGCATTCAAAGCTTATCTGGGGTGGGGTGCCTGTAACTCAGGCTGTAGCCAAATATCATCAGGAAACGTACCCAACTCCAAGTTGCACTCCAATGTATTCACTGGAGTGTGAATGTTTGATAAAAAAGCACTTAAGCATGGAAAAAAAAAGTAGTTGTATGAATGGGTGTGAATGGATGAATGACGCAAGTTGTAGAAAGTAGAGTAGAAAAGCACTGTATAAGAACCAGTCCATCTATCTTGGAGAGCAACTGGTCAACATGGGAGAGTAATCTGTTGCTATAGTTTACCTGAGCATTATGGCTATTGTGAGTACCAGTGTTGGTCAAGTTACTTGAAAAAAGTAATCAGTAACTAATTACTGATTACTTCCCCAAAAAGGTAATCCGGTTACTTTACTGATTACTTATTTTCAAAAGTAATTAATTACTTAGTTACTTGGTTACTTTTTAAACACACGATTTACAACCAGAATAGATACTAAAGCGATAGCTCTATCAGCCCAATTCTACTTTTTCTGCATAATCCATCATACAAAATGTAATCAAATGGAAAAGTCTCTTTTTTTTAAACTTGTTTTATCAGTTTTAATCTTTTAACTTTATGCATCAAGCAAAAATTTAATTATATGCACCATTCTCTGACTTGAAGAAATTAGTTTAACATTTAAACCTATTTTCTGCACATTCCAGCACATAAAATAAAATATTTTTTGTGTTTACACTCAGTCTTTCAAATAGATGCAAGTAAAACACAGCAGAAAATAAATAAAATCAAAGACTAGCGGTCCTGTTGCTCTATTTTCAGGTTTTTGGCCAGGGTGAAGGGAGTATCTGCGCATTTCTCGGCTTTTAACAAAATGCTATATGTCGCCAGGTGTTTCATCAGATTCGAGGTGTTACCTCGTGTTACCTCCTTTGCACAGCATCACAGTATCAGCTTAAAGCACTTGTTGCAGGCTGCTGAGTTTGCATCTTTTCCTGTGAAGTACAGCCAGACTTTGACCGCTTCGCCTTGGCACCAGATACCGGTACCCATTCCTACGCAGCGGTCAGTTGAAGAATCCGCAAGTTTCTCTGTGAATTTCCCATTACGTCGTTGCGCACTCGGAGCATGTTTAGGGGGTTTTTTTCGGTGTAAAAAGAAGTTTTCTTCCCACGCACAACGGACGCTAATGTTTTTGTCACTTTTTATGGAATCAAACTCAAAGTAAGGTCAGTACTTCCACGCTTTAAACGCTGCATGCTCATACTCTCTCCCGCACTCGATATATGATCCATTGTTGATCTGCACACAGCTGTTGTCACAAACTGTTAGTTGTAGGCCTGAGAGTGTGTGTAATTGTTTAGAGAGAAAGGAATTTATGGACACTGGGGGTCTGCCTGCCATAGAAGGCGACAGGAAGCTACAGTTGGGGGTTGCTGATGCTGATGCTTGTACCTTTAATAAAACTCATAATTGTTATAAACTTAGAAGTAGGTTTGTAGGAGACTCTCCACCTTATCTGTAAATGTAAGACAACAAGAGGCCAATGGCCCAGTGGATGCAGAGTGGGAGTCTCAGTGTTTGTAATATGTTAACTCTGTTTTCTATGTTGTGTAGAGGAATTTGGTGTAGCTTGGGTGAGGAGATTACTTTTATGACCGGCAGGAAGTCACGTACACAGAGACACACACACAGTGCTTTGACTGTTACGACGCACCCACACCTACATGCACACTCAGTCACGTGCACTCACATAGACATATGGGTACGCGCACACACAGGCACTCACGTGCTCGTGCATACACACAGAGACACAGAGTTTGCAGCACACCGTGGGGGTTTTATGACGGGGTCGCGTCTATAAAGCTGACTGTAACAAACAAAGGAGTGGAAGATTTGCAGAGGGACACCGGCCTTGCACATCTCCCCTTCTAGAAGATGCATGCTTAAATGAAGATGAATGAAGATGAATAAAGGTTTTGTGAAAAAGGACTACTGAGTTCCGGTGCCGTCCCGGAATAAAAGAACCGGGGTGAAACTGATTTCGTAACACTATGAAAGCGAATCCAGG